GTCGCGCCCAAGCCCCTTTGAAGGGCTGAAAACAAAGAAAAACAAGATCAAAAACCATTCGCATTTTCCCTTTGAAAGGGCTTATGCAAATGGTTTTTAATCTTGTTTTCTTCGTTTTCAGCCTTTCGTAAGGGGCTTGGGCGCGACGCGACCGCGTCGACCAACCGGCTGCCTCACTCCCCCTCCCTAGCGATACTGACGCGAACCTTCATTTTGTAATTCAGCCTCAGCGTTCAGACGTGATCGAAGTTGCGCTGAATATCTATTTATTTCGCATTTGGTAGAGTGTTCCCAGTCCATTGGATGAAGGACCCCAAATTTCTGTGAGAGTCAAGCAGCCGTGATGGAAATTGCGCTGAAGTATACGGGTCAATACTGATTGCTCAATAACGTTAAATATCGCTTTGGTCCGTGATTGATCCTGTATTTCTCGCTTGCTCCGAACCAAGAATGTTCAGGACTGTAAAATGAATAAGCAGGTTTAATAGGAATAACGTGCAGTGATGTTGGCTAATATCGATCAGTCAGTACCGCAAATATCGGTTTGTCATCAAGTCGACTGGCTATTCACAGCTCAGTTTCTTTAGGGATAGGATCATTAGGAAGTTGAGGAGGTATATGGAATATTACTACAAGAGCAGCGATCAGTTTCACCATTGGGTACCGGTAAATATCGGTATACTAGAAGATAGCCCCTAATATTCTCCTTCCATGAAATCAAAAGGAGAAGTTTCAATGCCAGGCGCCGAAAGGGCATTCCGGTCTGAGCGTTGAGGAAGAAGCCCAGCCGTGCTATCCGACTGATTGTGCTAATATTTAAAAGAATAGGTCTTTAACTAGAAAGATGAATGAATTACAAATGGTAATGATTTGATATGATGATTTATTTACTCACTTATTTGTTTGTTGAATTACAACATGGTTCAAGGCAGGCGTAAGATTTAACACAAAGCCTCATGTCATGGATGTGGGAGCATACATAATCCAGGTTCAAGAAGAAAGTCCAGCTATGAGAGAGCTCAAAGATAGATCTGTAACCGAAATGTAACTGGTTGGCCTCCATATTCGTTTTGCTAGTTTAGGCATCCAATTATTCTTATACGTAAATGCGAAGAAGGGGCATATGTTTTTGAGCTCTGTCTGCATGTACATGAAAGGAATGTCCCATTACGGATACATACCTCAAGCAGCAGAGTATTTTTCTTGATTTCTTTACGGAGTTACGGAAAATTTTTGCTTATGCATGTTGACCCTTTTTGATCTATATCTCATAAAGTATCCGTAGCTTAATCACTAGAATTGAGTTCTTTTGATCTTAGAATTCAAGTTCCCATTTGCTTCAGAGTTGAGGTTCCCATTTTCTGAAAACTTTCATTTTCTTCGCCGTTTCCTTTATATTTACTATTCCCATCATTTCACTCCAGTATCTGTGACAGTACCAGCTTGCACAGCTGAAACCAAGCTCACTAATTTAAGTTGTTCAGAGAGGGAATGGCAATTGGTAAGTCTTTCCAGCCATCCTAATCAATACAAAAATGCTCGGGTGAAAAAGTAGGGGTGGGGGCGCCCATCACAATGTTAGTATGTCAAGGGACGAACTCGGTGTTACGGTTAATGCGGTGTTAGCCGGGGGGATGTAGTTTTTTAACTGAGTCTCTGGAGGGTAGGAGTACCGGAATGAGTGGGATGAATACCTCGTGCGAAAAGCAAAAAATTATCCTAGGGCTCAAGTAAAGACTTGCATGTCCCTGGTGTAACACGGAATGGCGCGTAACACTAAGTTCATTTCCTAATATACTAACAATATGATGAGTGCCATCCCCTTCACCCCCCCCCCCCCCCCCCCCCCCCCCCCNCCCCCCCCCCCCCCCCCCCCCCCCCCCTGCCCTTACACTTTCGCCCGATGCTCGTTTGTCAAGGCCCGAAGCTTTAATCCGCTTCTAATTTGCTCTCAACTTTTCCCAAGAGAAGGTACTGTCAATTACTCTCAACGACGGACGGACTCTCCACTCAGGGTGAAACACACCTCGCAGAAAATGCTTGCTAGAAGTTCTCTCTAACACCTTTCATGGGTCTCAATGGAAACATTGTAGAAAATTCTTACCAAAGTCGAAAGTACTCGATTATCGCTTCTTGGGAAGGTGAGGTTTCGTCCTTAATACCTTGGAAAGGATAACAATAATATGAGAGGGAAACAGTGGCCATCATGCTAATCCATTGGGGTGATATCGAATTTGTTTCTGATCTCCAGTACGTATTGAATGAGACCACAAAGAGGGAAAAGGGAATTCTTTATTTCTACGAGGATAAGAACTGATGTATAGTGATTGTTTATTGAGCTTCCTCCCTTGCGATCTTCAGCTTTTCCACAGCTTCTTCTCTTCTTCGGTTTTTATTCATTCACCATTTAAATCATCTTCATTCGCCTAAGAGCTGGGGATGTACCTAAGGTACATGAGTTGTCATCGCTAAATCTGCGTCTCTTTCAGATACTTCTTTAGCCGTTCTGTAATTGCCGCAGCGGATTAAGTTCCGAAGAAATTTTAGAGAATCTTGTCCCCGTTCTTATCTTGATCTCCGAATCTTCTAGTCGGAGTACTAAATCGTTGTTTTGCTCGCTAAGCGATAGTAGTAGAAATATATAACGTGATGTATGAACCTCTTTTGTTGGTCATGCAAATTGAATATAGAGACTGGTGATCGTCTCCTTAGTGAACAAACTTCAATCTTTCGCGCTCGTCACTGTGAGCGATAATAAGTCCACAATCGCTACCTTCAACTCGTGGGAAGGGGGCACGTGAACAATTCCGTTTAGCCATTGGCAGTGATTTATCGTACTCAATCGAGAATCCAAGTTTGGCAAGGTGATTTTTTGCAGGTGTTTTCGCTAAGTGGACCCATTTCTTTCCTATATTTCAAGAAGGCCTTCTCGATTTTCTCTCCCACGATATCCTTTAAGGCCTATCTGGAGGATCGGCTGCTTTTGCTGCAGGCTCACGTCAACCGCAGTACGTTTCATTTGCCCCCGCTGCTCAACAGCTTGTGCCACAGTTTGTTCCTGTTTCAATTATGGATCCATCCGTCTTGGCTGCACAAGCACAGGTCCAGTTATGTAGTTTATATTTATACCATGGAAACATACATAATTCATTCCACGTTGGTAGTGTGTGTGTGGTGTCATCTTTTTACTACGTAATTTTTTTATTATAGGTGAGACTTTTATTATAATACTGAACTTTATATGTAAGGTATAGGTAAAATAAAAATCTCATTTTTCAGTGGCAGGGAGCTGCAGCTGGAGGATCCCAACTTTTATGGCCTGCACCAACAATTTTTCCGCCAACAACTGATCTTTTCATGCCTTCGCTTCAAACTATGGCAGGTCAGCGAACTGCCACGCACTTCAACCAGGTTCTAGTATTTCTGCTCAAACGTTTGAATCTTGATTATTCCATTTCATGTTCCACGTGTTTAGGTTTTTGCTCATCATCCTCAGCACAAAGGATTTAGTCTACCATCAGGGAGTGGCATGTCACAGCCGCAGCTAGCTTCGACGCAACTAGCTACTAATTTTGTTGTTAGTTGAAACCTACGCCAACAAAGCTGTCCCTGTTGCGAGTGCCCTCTTTCAGCATGACATACATTGGAACGATTTTTTCTTCGTTCAGGACGACTCTACCTGGTCTCAGCCGAATATCACCACTCTGAACGCACAGATGAACGCACTGCACCGTACGCCAATTTGCGCTGAGCAGAGCAAACGGTATTGCTTTGTTTGCTTGTTATATTTTCTACTTGTAATTAGTTTTGGCTTCGGTTGCATGATATTGATTTTCTGGTTGCAATTAGTTAGATTATCACGACATCGACTAGTCTAATGTCATTTATTTTCTTAACGCATTTAATACGAAACATGTTCAGCTTCATCTCCGAAGCCACACTCGGTCGGCGAGCTGCGGCCAAAGCAAAGGGGATTGTTCCATCTCCAGCCGTTTCTGTTATCACTATTAGTTCCAGCGAGGAGGACGATGTGAATGGGAGCAGGTTACTTATTGTAGCCAGATTATTCCGAAATATTAGGGTGTCTGGAAGGTTTTGAGAAAGTTTAGCCTCACAATTTTTAGATGGTTGTTGCTCGCAAACGCGCAGAAGAGGGACCCTGGATTCGATACAGGGAAAAGGGCATTGTGATAGATCAGTACTGTAACTGATCGATGTTTGACGTGGTCGTTCGAAGTAAGTAATCGTTGACCGAACGATGTGCCATCGACAAGACTACCGGAGCCTTCTGCTTCACCATTACGAAATTGATCGCCTCGACACTTAGGCTCGGAATGAGATGTGGCGACTGATTGGCAGCAGTGACCTTCTCTTGTCACTTACCTTAAATGGCACGATCGCTTCCTCTCAGAAGAGATTCGCTTTGGCGAAATTTGTCGAAGCGGAAGTCCGCTGTCTAATACCGACACTGTTCTGGCCTCCCGTCAGAGAAATCCTCAAATTATCAGGAAACGGAAAAACGCCCTCTTTTCTCCATTCCATCATCTGCGACGTTCTACGCAAATGTCGCTTCCGAAGCTGGGCTCTTTGCAAATATCGCACACTCCTTGACTGAGCAGAGCGTCGAGTGCGAGTCAGTATGTGTCAGAAGCTCCTCGACTGTAAGCGAGCAACGACATCAACCGACTTCATTACTGTTCGGAATAAAAATTAGGTATCACATGAAAATCCACACAGGAACTCGCAATACCTACGAGTGGACGTCACACCACAGCTCGCTACAAAGCGAGGAGACACGCCAATGAGGACATGTGCTCATTTTTCCTCTGCTCAGCCGGGTGTTTTACTACGGAATCCTAGGAGAGTGTACTGCGATAAACGCAAGAGTATTCTGTTACCAACTGAAAGAATGGTCTTCGAGCCCCCATTTCACATCGATTACAAGGGAATTTTTCATTGTTATTGATAATGCTCGACCACTCCACCCCACGCGAGGACGTCGACGGACGAGCTAGAGAGACTCAGTACAACATGACTACCCCGCCCAATACATATCCTTCTGACCTCGCCCATATGACTGCCATACTTGCAGAAGCCCATAGGCCTGTTTTGAAGGGAGGAAAGCCAACAATCGTAAAGAAGTCAAGTAGATAATAGATGAATCGATTTGAAGGAATGGCATCAGTGCCCCGTCCGGTTGATCTTGGTCACTAATCTAAGTTTATTGCTGAAGTTATTTTGTGTTGAAAAACCCGTCTGATTTTCTCAAAACTAATACACCCTAATATAATAATAAGAACAGAATAGACTCACACACGCACACATCACATTATTGATTCGTGCGGTCACATTTACGTCCGCTAATAGAGTACCATGGCGCTCTAGTCGTGAGCGCATGGCAATCTCATCTGCATGCGGACGAGAGGCATCTTGTAGGATCTTGTTATGTAGCAACCAATCGAGAACAAAAAAATGTGAGATAGAAAGAGCGGTGGCGTTTTTCGATTATCCTTTCCCTACATGACCTCCTCTTGGAAAGACGCCCAGTACCTCAACGTTTACAGTATTTGCTAGGCTTTGATATTATAGCCTCCCAAGGAATCATCTATGATTCGAAGGAGAATCAAAATACCAAAGCGGCCGAATCTATTTGACAGCATTAGCGCGTAGACTGGCGCTTGCTGCTACCTGAATAAATGGTTCATCTGCTTCGAGGATTCAAGACATCGTTGATTGCATAATACGGCTAGGCTCGTCGGGAAGTCCTTTGCAGATCCTAGTCCTTGTGACCACTTTGAATTCGGTCCGGTGCATATTTTGTGCACGCAGGGGAGGATCTCAAGTCAAAGTGGCTATATGCTATGAGACTTAATCTTCTAGGCGTATTTCCGAGTGTTGTCCCTAATCTGCGTTTCGAATTTGCCAAACAATGCTCCGAACGAACTTACAGAGGTGGTTTCTGGTGAGTGATCAGCATAACCAAACATCTAAACGCACAGTCTACGATAAAAACGGTTTCGAAGTTCTCTTTTCGGAATACCTAGTAGACTCCAACTGTAACAGGAAGGGCGCTGTCGAGTCCTGGAACTCAACACCCAGGGCATAGTGGGCGCCTCGTTACCGGATCCCCCAGACTTGCCGCCCCCGATCGTAGTCACGTCGGACGAATGTCGAGGCAGTACAAATTGCAATATTGGTTCTAGGGCCCACACAGAACCAACTGATCGCTGAGTGATGAGGCGATGTTTTTCTCCCGTTCTTTTATTCTTTGTTATTTTTTTTGCTGCTGCGATCCTTTGAGTAATTCTCCACCCCAGGGGGCTGGAAAAGCTGGGCTATTTTTGCTGTTACTAGCAGTTTTGTGGACCTGTGCTTATGAGTGAATGTATTTGAAAAGACATTTTTGTTCACTGCAGTCAGCTATTCGCACCACGACCCACAGGTACGCAGTGACTCGCATTGCATCGCTCGTCCGGGTTCTCGTCCCTTTTTAACGATCTTTTCGAAGCCTTTTTCACTCTGGAAACACGGACTCACGCAGGTTCTTCGTATTCATCGCACTATTTTCCATCTTATCTTCTACCAGTTTGGCTATGCACGCTAACGCGCGCAGTATATGTCGACGGCCACTTATCCACAATGGAGTCATTCAGCGGAATGTTGGATAATCAGAATAAGATAGTTCTCTCTAGATTCAAACGCTGAACTGCTGAGAGCACGCTCGATATATTTGAGCAAAGTTATTAGTGGTTGATCATAGCTCCGTCCACCCTAGTGCAAACCCTTCCGACGGTAAACTTGACCACCCTTCTTTTGACTGCTCCAAACCATTTTTTCCGCATTCCAAAAAATTTTTGAAGAGATGAATTTTTGGCTCTAGCCCCGCTTCCATGTGCCAGCTCCGCCCCCTTCGAGGACCTAACTACATTTGTTCCAATTCCTCTTACCATTTTTTTCCCGCATTCCAGAGCGTTTCTGAATAGAGTTATAAATTTTTGACCTAAGCCCAGCCCACTTTGGTGCCAGCCCCGCCCAATTCCGGAATTTGACTACATTTGTTCTTTTACACCTTGACCCCTTTTTGCCGCATTCCAGAACGTTTCTGAATATAGTTATAAATTTTTGATCTAAGCCCCGCCCACTTTGGCGCCAACTCCGCCCACTTCGAAAATTTGACCACACTTGTTCCTTCACCTCTTTCCACTTTTTTCCCGCGTTCTAGAACGTTTCTGAACAGAGTTATGAAATTTTGATCTAAGCTCCGCCCACTTTGGCGATAGCCCCGCCCACTTCGAAAATTTGACCACATTTGTTCCATTGCCTCTGACCACTTTTTTCCCGCATTCTAGAACGTTTCCGAAAGAAGTTGCACTAATTTTTAAAAAGTAGCTTTCATCTTAACGCACGCCCCGCCCACCGTGGGCGGAGCTTCGCTAAGCTTACGCATGCCCAACCCGCATAAGGTCTTGCTCACTCTTCTTGCTTTTTTTCCTGCCCTCTACGCCTTCGCTGAATCGAGTTATGAATCTCTGTGAAAAGTACCGCCCACTGCGAGGACGCTCCGCCCACCGCCAGTAAGCTTCCTTTATTTTAGTTGATGACCCATCCCTCACCTTTGGACATTTTTTCCCGGCGTCTGGACTGTGATGAGACCGAATTAGAAGAATTAGTCCATGACCCCGCCCAATCCTGGCGCATGCCCCGCCCCTTGGGGGCGGAGCTCCGCCAGGCTCACATGTGCTCTGTTGCACTTACCCTATGCTCAACTCATTCCAAACTTGACCCGACTTCTCCAGGTGTTTCCTCACGTTATATCGAATTTCCGTACAAACAGACAGACAGACAGCCAGAGCGCTTTATATATAGTAAGGATTTTTCGTCGTAATCTGGATAACCCAAAATTATCGTGAACTGTGCCTTTAAGAAGTTTGCATACCTAACCGTTGCTTGGAGCAGTGGTAGGCGTCACGCCTGATATGCATGGGACCATGTATCGGAATGTGGTTTTTTGCAATTTGCGGTCTTTTCTCCTCACATGGGAAAAGCTTTGCATGTTCATTTGACCGCATTCAGGGGCCTTTTCGAAGCCTGACGTGGTTCATTCTTATCAAAACGGTACAGTGTCGCTACTAAGTCACTGCTTATCAACACGTAATACTTTTTGTGTGAGATCTCTAAAAAAATGCACAAACTGCAATTTATAGCCCCAAAAGACTCGAAGAGAAGAAAAGAGCTTGTGGCAAATCGTTCTATTCGTTGCTCCCATTGTGAAAACTTCTTTGTTCTAAATGTTTTGCACCATACTATACTATCGGATCTGCTTTTAGAGTGATGCCAGGTACCATAATGTAAATGTAGAGTGTATGAGAGTAAAGGAACTGTCCGTACCGGATGGTTCGATTGGGAACCGAATCACCAGTCACGAAAAAGGCCGCTGGAGGCGGTGAAACCAATACACAAAGGTTTTACTGTTCTCGAAGAGAAAACCCGTGAAGTGCAAAGAACACATCCATAACAAAACCCGATGGTCTCATGCGTATGGAGTGTACGGGTGTGGGACGTTAGTCTCGAATGACATTGCTTCGCGTCGAGGTGCGAAGTGACCTCATTAGTGACTAACCTCATCTTAATTACGCGACTCCCCTTAATCGTGACTAACCTCAGCTTACCTATGAAA